ACCACTTTACCCCGAATCGTTAAACGCGCGCGCAGCGACGGCACAAAGTTGCAATCTCACGCAACGTTGTGCAATCCTGCCTGGAAAAATCTTTAGCGCGGAACGGGACCGTAACCCCCCCGACGGGGCATTAAAGACCGAGCCAATTAAAGATCGGTGCAGGGGTAAAAGACAGTGTGCTTGCGGAAGGCAGAAAGTGCAGAGGGGGAGTACGGAAATATTCGAGCAAACGCAGGGACGAGGAGGGCATCGATTTCCGTTTTGGCCCAATAACTCCGCTTCCATTTTCACCGTTACCAAGTTCCGTTCGGAAAGGACAGAGATCTCGATCCCTTCGGTTGCTCCCTCTGTTCGTCGTCTCTCTCGTCCAGCTCGTCATGTGTCCGTGACAATGGCATCTCACGCTGCTTCATACATAAATGCGACGTAACAATAAACAGATAGAGAGGGAGAGAGAGAGTGATAGGCAAGGGGACCAGCGGGAAGGAGAGAGGGCTTCAAAGGCCGTCATAGCCGGAGGATCAGAAACCGATATGAGATTTGGCTATGTATGAATGATGTATCCCGCGACCACCGCTACTTGCAATCTCTGCCGGCCTCTCGCTCCATCCTGCCACCACGTGATGAAGGGATAAAGAGAAAGGCGGGAATGTGTTCTCTGTTTGTTCGCGGATATGTATCGGTATATTTCGTATATACGTATATCCCAGTTTCGTGACGGGAAAGGCGGACCGGGATAGGGATGCGAACTCCCCCCCTGGTCACTCGGGCTCCCTATACCCCGACATGGTAATTGCTTTCAATGGGACAACGGCCCGAGATATTTTCGCTTAGCCGATTCGAGTCGATTCGCGATGCTGAACGATTGTTTTCGCGTACGAGGCTTCGAGGATTTTTAGCATTGACGTTGGCGCGCTAATTACGAGAGCAAATGTTTGTAGCAGATAGCGGATGTAGCGTGTTTGCACTCGACGATGAACTCTGGTCTCGTCGATGGGACGATGATGTTAAGAATGCTTTTCCTGGAAAACTCACGAATCACGTCGAACCGCTCTTTTAGGTACTCGTTGCGCGGAGAATCGACGGAAAGCCGTGGCGACGGGAGATTCGTAATTTTCTTTTTACTTTGGTGTTTCAAGTTTGTACACACGTAATTCCGCTTGCGTAACTTGTACCTCGGCAGATCGACGCAGACTGTACGTGAATTAAAGTGCAAAGGAAACTGACGATTCCTTTGAATTTATTTCCCGAGGGGGAGGGAAGGCACGTTGCCGTACGCCCGCAATTTTTTTCATTTCCCGGTATTGTATAAATCTGGCAGGAAATCCCACGGAAGTTCCAAGCATCTCGCGACAGAAATCGATGCAATAATCGTAACGCGAGTTTCCCCGGCGTCGTCCAATTTCAGCGAGAGATACGAACGATTATCAGCGTGCCAAGAAGGGCGGACGCGCGCGAATCTGAAATGGTAACCTTGAGAGAGATGGAACGACGTAGATGTCAGGAACAGAAGTGCGGTAATAGTTTACGAGAGAGGCAAAAAGAAAAAGAGAGACAGAGAGAGAGCCAGTAGCAAGCGTAATCACGGTAATGCTTAGACGAGGATTCCGACTCCTTTACGCTTTTCCATTTCTCCGCGCGCCCGTTCCTTCCTTTTCCTCTACTCGCGGTCGTTTCGTTTTATTTCGCGTCTTCGGGGAGATAATCGGCCGTGGAGGAAAAGAGCGGCAAAATTAGAAGGCGGACCCAACCGTGCAGATGGAATTATTTAACAGTCCGTGATACTTTCTACGTCCTACGTATCGGCGATAGTTGACGCATCTGTGAAAACTCGAAATGGAAGAAACGAACGGACTTTCACCGATTCGCGATAAACGACGCGTCGCGATTGTTTCATCGAACTGTTTTTTGCTCCGATTTGCCACTGTTTTTTTACATTTTATTTCTCTCTCTCTTTTCCCTCAAACAACTTGAATATTGTATGCGCTTTATATTGCTATGGATCATCGTTGCACAATCGGGAATTCATGTTTCGTTTCGCGCAACTTCGACGATAAATCACCGAAAAAAAAGGCCACTATTTTTCGCGCTACTCGCTCCTTAATTTTCCCTTTCTCTCTCTCTCTTTTTCTTCTCGTCTTGCATTGGCCGAGAACTCTGACAAACCAGAAAAGAAAAAAATTCGATACGAGTAGGCACTCTTGCAATGCTATACAATTCCAACACTCGTATTAATGTACAGAAGAAATATTTAACAAAGAAGATCATTAACAGAGAAGAGGCATTTCTCTGAAAATCAACGGGACTCATAAAATAAAAGTACCGTGAAAATGAAAGTCCCCGTTCGACTTTAGCCGTTGCTCAACACGTAGATCGCGAATCGAGTAGATATCTCACGATCTTTACTGCAATCTTACTCCTTTGGTGTCCTGTTGTTTCTGTTTTCTTTCATGGTTCTGTTTTTTATTCTGCTGTTTTTACACTTTCGTTTTTTATTCTTCTTATTAAGTTTACGACGTAAACGTGCTCTTTAGCGTTAGCTTGTCAAATTAGAAATTTTTACAATATATCACAAACGACCATTATAATATTACGTAATATTTTTACGTAAATAAAGTAATTACGTTTTCTTCAAAATAATTTAAACAACTTATTTTATTATGTTATTACTATATCGTTGCTTGATAATTTAATTATTTTAATTTGAAAACAATTTACCATCCAAAAACTTATTAATCCTATTAAATGCATACTATTATAGCCTTCTTTATCTTAAGAATTTAAAATTAAGATCGTCATTCAGATATGGATGATAGAGCGATCAACTTGTTAAATCAACTTTCCGTTCCAGTTCCATTTGTCTAGAGATAAACGCTCGAGCCTGCACGAATTGTCACAACGGACACGTTTTGGTCCCCTAGATTTTCCCCCGGTTTCTCCCTTTTCTATCTGCGGCGAGCGTGCACGCCGAGGGTGAACGTAACTCGTTCATCAGATTAGGCCATCGTGAACCCTCGCAGGTGACGAAGAAGCTCGTGGGGCTGGAGGCACTCAAGGCTGTTGAACGAGGCTGGAAGGAAAGAGGCCGATGGCACGCAGGAAACCGAGTCGAGTGCCGAAAGGACTGTAGCCTCCTTTCATGTAAGGTAATTAACTACCGAGAACCGTTGACAAACACCTAACTCTCTCGCGTACAGCCCTCCTCATGGCCGCGACTGCCTCTCCTTTCCTCCAACTTGGCTCCGCGCCGCGTTCCCTCCTTCTATTTATTTTTCAAGCGGCCGTCCTCTTATTCCCCTCGGGTTCGCGCGATTTAAACTTTAAAGCGGAGACAGTTTCGGCCGGCGAGGGAGCGTAACGTTAGAAATTCAACAAACGAAAGGAGGGGGGGAGAGCCTTTTCGCTTCTATCTCGAGATCGAACATGGCGTTTCTCTTGACGATGCGAAAATTTTCTCTCCCTTTTTGCTTCCCCCGAGAAATCGCACAACTCTAATTTAATTTTATTGCAAACTTTATTGCACAAAGTGTTAAGATACAGTTAATTCCTCTTCGTCCGGTTGATCGCGAAGGAAGATTTTCAAGCCGTGGGCATTCAATTTTGTCTAAAAAGAAGAAAGAGGAAGGAAAGAGAAAGCGGAATGAAGCGGGAAAGGGTGAAACGTACGAATGGAGCAATTTCAACAAAACCGCACCTATTATGGTCGTCGGTTAGCTGAAACGATGCAACGGCGGCGGCAATATTTCCCCCGTTAACTTTGCCATGGTGTTCGCGAAACGATAAAGGCTCCAGAGGGTACTTAGCGCGAATCAACAATTTTGTAGCGCATTTGTTTACGGGAAAACCGGGCCAGGCCTCTCCCTCGCAATATCAGGGATTCCGCGTGGACGTCAAATAAAAGCTTCGTCCATGAATTATTTTGCCGGCTAATTTCCCCGGTGGCGCATCGCCTGGACACTGGCCTGAGGGACACGCCGCTGTTTGAACACGCCGCCGTCAAACTGACTTTATCAGAGTTAGAGCTTGACAATCGCCGTGTAAAACTGTTAATCACGATTAAAGTTGTCCGCGTGTACCGACCGTCAGCGGCTGACCGAGCGAGAAATCTGCCGAAATCCAGACGAATCGTTTTCCGACGCAGCGTGACAAACAGTAATCGTTTCTTTGATCTTAATAAGTTCATCACCATCACGTTGGATCAGCGAAATTTCAGAAAATTTTGAAAGATCTGGACTTCTCAGATGATTCGAACTTGGACTGTGCGTCTGATATTGAAATGACATTGAGATTGCGTCACTGCAGCGAGTTTCGAATGTAAATTATCTGTTATTGATGTCAAACAACTAGTTTGCATAAGTAGAATTTGCACAAGTAAAATTTTTCACTTCGTTGGAAGAAACAGCGACGCGTTTGACATGAATTTCCAAGACTGTAAAGAGTTTTATCCTCGATGTTGAAACAAGTCTGAAACTGTACTTTGCGCTCCTTAAGCGTAAGTGGTAAGTTCGAAATAAGGCGTGTACATACATAACATGGTCGTTCGATTGTGCGCATTTACGCTAACTATGTAAGACTGATCGCGACGGTCAACAAGCGAACGTATGTTTTCCTAATTCGACTATCGACTCGTTCTCCGAGCGGAAAATTGTTGTTTGAGTAACCTTCGCGTTGTCGTCAAACGATACAGAAATGAGATGCAATTTTTTTCCACTTCGTTGGAAAAACGGAATAATAAAAAATAATAAAAACGTTTCTCGAGACTTTTCTATTTCGTTTCGTCGTAACAAGGCTCCAATATAATTCGAGCAATACCGGGTAAATATTTATGTATGACACAGACCATTTCAAAATTATTACTTACAGACTGTCCCGTGGAGCAGCTAATGTCACCTTAGAATCTCAAAGTGCCACATTTAAATTACAAAGTATCTGGCACAAAATGAAGAGGAAAGCTGCTCCGTGCAAGTGTGTTAACGTTAAAATGAAACGTAAATTCCATATTTCCATAAATACGTACAAACATCACGTTTATTTGCCACGATAAATCGAAGGATTAAATCACACACTGTTCACAAGAATTCAAATGGTTCTCCGTGACAATCATTCCGCTCTAATTACTTGTTGTTGCGTCAACGCAATCGACAAGGAATTATGTCGCGATAATGCTCACTATAGATTCAGTCTAGATCAAAAACGAACGATGCAGTGTCTTATCGTCGGTATGCAATAGTTCTTGGTTAGCCATACCAAAGATGTTTGTCCATAACGAACCGTACCAGCAACGACAAGACCATGAGGAAAACAATCATCGCCGCACCGACCAAAATGGCGCCGTATTCTGGAAAGAGAACAGTCGTGAATCGCAATTCAATAAGTAACAACAAACAATCGCAGTGAACGTTCGCCAATGAATGTTTCGTTTCTTTTCGTAACGAGAATACGAAAACACGATGAGATTTGTATTTTAAATCGTCTCGTTGAACATTTGGAATTTTTATTCCTTATTCTCGTTTTCATTGCTGGCAAAAGTGACGCTTGTGTGCCGGCGAGTTTAAAGAACAAAATTTAATTTCACGTTGACACGGGAGAGGTAATGACGTGCTTCTTTTTTCTTTTTCTTTTTGTTTTACAAAATCGAGAAGAGGAGAGGTAGGAAACGTACGTAGAAAATACGTCGGTGACTACAAAGGCAAATCGCGTGCCATTTTACCGCGTTACGTTCGACGATTATAATAAAAAATTGAGGGTAATGAATCTTCAGCGGGTCGAATTATGCACGCTGGAAACCGAGTACCATTACAGGTCTTGTTACCCGGCGACGTGCGTGCTCCAAACGATGGAAAATTTTGCGCGCAAAGTACAACGTCACCTCCCTCTCTTCTCGTCACTTTGCATTCAAACGAAATTTATTCGCCGTCGCGGCGGGATAATCCCCAAGTGCGAAGCCCTGAACGCGGAATTGCGAATCGCAAGACAAACAGGGCTGCGACTTTCAATCCAATTAAAAATAATTATCGTACCCCTGAATCACACGTTCGCCAAGTGGTCGCACGACCACTTTGCTCGCGAAATTCGTCACACGTTATTTAACACAAGGCTGTAAGCAAATTTTATAAAGGTTGTAAAAAAATAAATACAAATACGCTTCGATGACAACGAGGAACAGAAACGTGTCAATTGTAAAAAAAAAGAACTGACTTTCGCAAAGATGCAAATTTCTATCGAGGATGAGGAATTGCGACCAATTTACCGCGGAACTGTAAAATTACAGAAAAAAAAAAAAAAGAAGAGGTCAATTCGCTAACGTCGTTAACTATGAATTATTTACCAATTATATTCGATTCCAAAAATTCCAAACTCAGGGGATGATCAGAAGCGAACGAAACTCGGAACGAACAGTCCATTCAATCGCATTCGTTGATATTCATAGACTGGCACGATAAACCACGGTCGATTTCACGGCACTCGGCAACTTGCGCAAAAAATAACTGGAGCACACGATCGTAAAGGCTTACTTACTCCGCCTCGTTCCGCGGGTGTCCTTGCTCGTGGAGATGTCGTCGGTGAAGCCTTCTTGCGCGAACAGAGACCTGCGAGAGCCGCACATGAACAGCCTGCAAGGCATTAAAGGCATCGAGATCGATGCGTGTTGGCCGGGATCGGTTCTCTCTGGATAGGAATCGAAGCCCGGCGACGTCAGCCCGGATTGGAAGCAGGCCAGCGGAGTTGCGTCCGCCCTGTAGGATGCTGCATTGCACGCTGAATACCAATTCCCCGAAAAGTCGTGCGACCATCCGACGTGATTCGGCGGCACGATCGCGCTGTAAGGCGGTGGGTCGTCGTCGTCGTCGTTTCTCTCAGCGTCGTCGTCGACCGCGATCGTCGATTGCGTGACGGATCCGTTCGCCGGAGTTCTGCAGGTAGCGGTTGCAACGACATCGGGATCCGTCGGTTCCGCCTGATGGAGCAGCTTCGACGAGGGTAACATGGTTCGATGGATTCTCGAGGTGTGCAGATTGATTTTAAGTTAGAGCGTCTGCGCGCTCATTTTTTGGACAGAGTGAATTGACGGCGATCTGAAAGAAAGTGATGAAATGATTGTTACACGTTGTCGCTTTCGTTGAATCTATAGTACAATACAAGTATATTATACTTTGGACAATTAATAGATAATAATTGAACTGGGCACTGTTGCCGTGCAAATTATTTTACAAGCTCGAAATAAAGATAACGTTGAGTTATGTTGAAACGAATCTAAATTACATCGTTTCGCAAATTTAAATTAACACAGCAATATGTCGCATTGCACGTAAATAACGTGATTACAAATGAAGAAATTAATCAATCACAGGCCATTAATGTCAGAAGTTGCATTTATCTTTGCGTGATAAAGTGTGCATCGTATATTGAGACAAAAAGTTTTTTTATTACCAAAAGAAGTTTTTTTTGTTATTTGGAACTGCAATATCTGCAATTTGTAAAATTTTTATAGAAATAAGTTTTATCTCGGTTTGCAGTAAACAAGCCAAGATCTAAAATTAGCAGGACGAAAGTTTCTCTTCGTCGGAGATACACTGAATGTGCTCCTCTTCTGCTCTGATTCGATCGTGATTCACAAACGGGTTGTAATTATTGATCGGGCACTGGTACTCCTTGAAAAACGAGCCGCTGTTCTCCTCGATTGTTCGAACGATCGACCTTATTCTCAAGGTGCGCGAGATTCGTTTTCACATAGCGGGGAAGAAAATAAATTGCGTAATTCCGAATTACCTCGAAACGTCACGATCGCGAATGAAAAATTGGAGCCAAGTCTATGTATATATGTGTACATACGTCGACTTGGGAGAAAGAAATTTCACGGTCATTCGGAGAGACGTAATGAGACGTTTATATTCCAACGAGAGCTACTCGGAGATCTCCCACGGTCGCACTTTCTTGAACGGCTTACGTAATTCGTCTCTAGTCGAATATGCGCGTTCCATTGTCAAGGACAAGTTGAATAAACCCGAAACAACGAAAGCAACCGGACTTTCCTCATCGAAGGACGATTCGTTCGATGAGTCAGCGGCGTTCCCAAATGCGTTTCGATTCTCTTTAACGCGAAACGCGTCTGGAGATGTTTGTTAATTTGGAATGTGACAAAAGTGAAAGCAATTTGATCGGTAATATTGAAACAAAGAGCGCGCTAATGAAACTCGTTACTAATTTCGACGAAATTGCGCGACAACACAATTTGAAACTCTGTTCGAAAAATATGTGTTCGTTTGAAAGAAGTAGTCGGGCCTTCAAGATAATTAATTAAATACATTCTACGTACAATTCAAATTTCTCTAAATTCCCATTCCGAGCACGTACATAGGTACTGTCGGCGATCCAAAACGAAAGTGCTCTCTCCGATTAATAGCAGAACGTACACCTTGCAAACATCAACAAACCATTTCGAAGATATCCTATTCGATAACGTATAAGTGTATACGTACGTATCGCAAACAATTTCGAGCTGGAAGCAGCTGGTTCGCGGTCGACCTCTCGCAGTACACTCGTTTCCGAAGCAAAAACCGCATACAGCGTCGTCTCAGTTGCGAATTCACCATCCGACGAACACAGGTACGTGTCCAGTAACTTGTCAGCAGTTCTCGCCACGCCTCGTTTGCACACAACAGTCGACGAAATCAACCGACGACAACGGGTGCTAACGATCTGCACATTTTGCTATGGTCGAGCGTCGGCGACGCGATCAACAGGTAGCAATCGCAAGACCGCGACACTGCGGACCGAAAACTGCCCTGTCGAACGTACGAAAGAACACGAAGAATGCACGAGAACTGCGCGAAGTGTACACCGAGTTCTTGACCACGGGAAATTAACGAAACGAAAGGAGTCGATTTTGAAAATTTTGGCAACACTCCTCCAAATTAATGATCCAAACTGCGACGACAATTCTTCGTAGCGTTCAACAAAGATTTGAGTGGGTTCGTGAATCGAGGATCTTGGTTCCTTGCCTTGAGTCCCGAAAATTGATGACACTCTTGTGTAATTTTACGACATCTTGACGAGTGGTTCGTTCACATTGCAGATTCGAAGACACGCGAGCGTCCAGCAACGATGATAACGGAGTGGCGGCTGTCCACCGACAGTCGAGCCTGGCCGATCGCGGGCTGTGCCACGACCAATCGAGCGTCTATCGTTCTACCCACCTCCGTTTCTATCCTGCGGGAATGTCGAGGACGTTGCCAGCGATCAAGGTCGTTACCTTTCGTGGCCAGTCGCCGGTCGACCGGACGCTCGTAGTACTCCGAAGCTGACCGACATGCGTTCGACCATTTTTTCTTGAACAATTTGCAGCAGTTATAGCAGTGGACTTGATAAAAGAGATACGGTGAGGTCACTTTTATCAGAATTAGTCAGACATTGAATATTCCGAGTGTTGAAACAATGATTCAAGAGGTAAGCTCAGTAGATGATGCATTTTCTTTTCTTTTATGTTTTCATATATGACTTCTTTTACGTTTGTCACGTCACGTCATGTTTTTTTACGTTTTTATCTTTGTCATATATATATATATATATATATATATATGACTTTTTTTACTTTTTTACTTTTTTTACAAAGTTATATCAGTTTAAATTATTCATAATGTTTCATCGTTACTGATATTGATAATTTTATTGCTTCGAAGTAACAAATTTTATTACTTAACGCTTCTTTTTGTATCATCGATAGTTTGGAAGATATTCGAATGTATCGATTTAAATGGGACACCCTGTATATATACATGAAATCCTGTACGTTGATTTACAAATGAGCTTTGCAGGCTGAGATACAAGCTGTCTCCACGGAACTATATGATTACTATATCATCTCTCGCGTGGCGAATGAATTTAATTTATGACTTGATTATTATTATATATAAATATCTTCTTCCAATAGCAGTCGAAGGACGGAAGATAATCACAGTGTGAGTAAAAATTTTGAAAGCGTCGTGTGTAGCGTATTTCTGATTCTTGAGATTTGGACTCTGACGCACTGGCTCTAAAAGAATATTCTGAGAAATCTAGTCCGATTGATTGTCATCTTGTTATTTGTTGATTCGAGTGATTAACAGCGTTGGCCATCCAGCGTATTCGGCATTTGAAAACTTTCCTACATCACCGTGTATCTTTGCTGCTAGTTCAAAAGTCACGAGGCAAAGTACAACATGTTTGTAGTTATCGAGTGATTTATAAAAACACAATTGCAGAGAGCTGCACGTTTCTGTTTTAAATTGTCCGAGGTGTTGAATAATCTCAGAATGTTCTCCTCCGATTAGGAGAAAAAAGAAATATATATCTGCAGATATAGAGAAGCATGTTTTCCTTATCGCCGATGCGTTGCACGTTGTATGTGTTACAAAGTGCACTGCTTTCGCTGTGACAGCAGTTAGGAAATCACGAATTATGTAACTACATCGGCATACATTAACGTATGTACGTGCGATTGGACATGTATCAATTTATGGATATCGCTGCGATTAATTTGACATGCACTAATTGATTCGATGGGAAGAAAACAGTACGTAGAATTTTACACGCGTCACCTAATAGTCGACTAAGTGTCGGAAAATTTTACGAGTGTCGCTCGTTTTAACGAAACCAAATGACGAGATAATGAGAATACGACTATGCTTTTAAGAGAACGGCAAGAGCTATATTTTATTCTTTCCCCGAGAACAAATTCTCGTTAATCTAGAATTCAACGTGCCTGCTTTCACCGTTCGACGACAGACTGCCCCTCGCCTTCACGCTCCGTGAAGATTCAAGTTTAGATCACAATTAGTAATTGCACGAGAAATTGCCAGAGTAAATGCGGCGAGGCAACCTCTAAATGCTCAACCACGGGCTACCGAAATTCGTAATGCAACGAATGTCTCGTAGTATTTCGATCTTCAGCCGCAAAACTCATTCGATCAAGCGCGTTTTCTCGGCGAACCTCATTGTCATTCACCGTTACTGGCAGATACGTTCGTCGGGTCGTTTTCATTTTCAATGCAGCGAGAACCGATTCTCCGTGCAGACTTGATCGCGCGAACGCCAAACCTCCGTGTGCGCGCACGTGCGTAGGCGCGAGTTACGTGTTTGGCATACTTTGCACGATGTCGAGAGATAAAAGACAGAAGAAAAGAAAAAGAATTCAAGTAGAAAATGGAACAAGAGCAACAGCTCGCGTCGTCGCGAATTGTGATTTATGCGTGCGACACGCGGAAGTTGACTGGCGGACCAAACGTTCGTGAGACACGGCGAAAGGTTAAAGTTGAACGGGTTCTTATTGATTCTATGGTCGTTCGGGATCCACGATGAGAAACAACGGCGAAATCTTTGCGATCATCGTGCACGAATGAAACTTTTCTATAAGGGAAAGATTCCAAGTTCGTCGCTTCATTTGCGATCCAAGATGATACACCATTTCAGAGTATGGTACATATTTAGTGGATGAAACTAATCTCCCGCGTAGTTGCATAATTTCGACGGATTTAGACGATTTCTAGACGTAAACATTGTCGTTATCGCGCCGAGACACATCTATCTATACGATGAATGGGCTGGCAAGCGGTTATTTAGTTGCATAAACTGTTTTTATAACTCTTGAATTAAATCTTTTTATAACTCTTCCAGTTGATTTGCAATTTCTAGAAGTCGCCCGGTGAAAAAAAATTCAATTATTTTATTACCAACCACTACATACAGTCATTGCTTATTTACTCGCCTGTGTAATTTGCAGTCTATCTAATTTGCGATTCGTAGCTCGTAAAATTAATAATAATCCACGGGTGGCCTGGCAGTATACACGCCTCAGAGGTTAGTCTCGCTATCAAATACCAATACCGCGAATGGAAATTACCAGAAACCATTCGACAACGTTGCAACCAGGGAAGAATTTCTCGGCAAGTGTAACGTTATTTACACAGAGATAGAGAAGAGACAGAAATGAAACTTGACCGAAGGTCGAGAACTCGACCGCTCGAGAGTTGGTGCAATTAAAATCCATGAAATTCGAAAAGTCGAACTTACCTTGGTTCGTGAGGCTCTTTTAATCGGTACATAGTGCCATCCAGAGAGCACGGAAACTTTGCCAAGCGCGGGAACACGAGGGGTATAACGTGGCTTCCATATTTTCACAGGGGTAACGACCTCGTGGCGAGGCGCGGTGCGAAACGACGAAATCGGTTTCGAACGTACGCGCACCGTTATTGAAACTCGGGATTGGCGAACTCGGCACGGCGTGCCGAGGCGATTTCTCGGTTGCACTGCGATCGCGCGATAGCCTGCACGTTACGTGCAACGAGAAGAGAAGGGAAAACGCACACGGCGAGATCGTCGGTCGTAATGGTGGGTTAATACTGCGATATCTACGACGCGACCAGGCTTACGAGACTTCCGCGTGAAGCGAGCAACTGCCGAGCGGCTCCGGCGTGTTACGCGCACTGCAGATGCATTTCTTGCGTTCACCACCGAGAACACCGACCGAACGCTTCTTCTCATCGCACTCCTTACGTGGCTACTTACGTGACCGAGTCACGGAAGCGCCGGAGGAATCCGGCAACGCGTGCGAACGGGTTACGCAACAATTTTATGTAACCCGTTACAAAATGAAACTAAAATCTCTTACGAGCGACCGGTTCTCGCTCGATCGATCGGTGAAAAATCTCACCGTTACGCGGTGGCTGCTGGTGTTTTGCGGTAACCGGAGTCGAGAGACATTCTGGCTCGCTTCGGAGCGGTCATTTCTCCTTCGAATATCCATTTAAAACTGCAGAACGAGTTTTAAATCTAAACGACACGTTTCTTCACACGCTCGTAAATATCGATATTGACAAGTGCCCTGTCGATCACTGGTAACTGACGAAGAAAATTTAGCACGCCTATAGTAAATATTGAAATACTTTGTGATTACTGAAAAGAATAGCAACTGAATATTGCTTTTATTGACATTTATTGTATAAACAGTATACAGTGTAATGATGCAATTTTTAATGGGTTTTGTTAAAACGATTTAGGCAAAGATCAGAATGTTACAACTGTCTCAGTCACGTTTCTACTAATATTTCTTCCCAGCAGTGTCGCGTTTTTCTTCGCAACAAATTTTTCGCAAAACCTTCTGACTTGGAATGCTGTGATCTTGCGTTTCGCTTACCGCGAAACTGTATCGAACGGCGTAAACGGAAAGATAAACAAAGTACGCACGGCGCTTGACGTGCTAATCAACGAATTCGTACGTATTGGTGGCAGATAAGTAGCGAAACTGTCGTAATTCATAAGTGAATTCATATTTCTACACGAAGACGTGGATCTTTTGCCACGTTTGAGAAAAAAAGATCATGTATTCATAGATTACGGGAAAATCTTGCCGTCCGATCTGTCGGGACGAGAGCCAAAAATACACCTAGGAACCTCTTCACGAATTTCAGTCTCGTAGTCACGAACCCAGCAATCCCATCGAAGCGCGACACCTAATCAAACCTATTCCACAACTAAATCACGTCTAGAAGGAACGACCTACACGTTTCCTCTCCGAGACCCAGGCAATTCGAGCTGCCGGTTAGGTCTGGAGACCGCGATAACGGTTGGCGTCGTCGTTCCGAAAGCGACTCGGCCGTCGTCGCTTCGTCCCGGTTGCCGGCAAGTCCCGTTAGAGTAGTCTCCGCCTGGGAACCTCATCCAGGGGGGATATCGTCTTTGTACCTCTGGAAATCGTAAGATTGGTATCGCGTTCCTCTCTCTGATATTGCGTCTCACCAGGCGGCGTCGTAGCCGTCCTCGCCGTCGCCGTCATTGTCGTCTTTTATTTCAAGGGAAATTAACGACGACCGGGCGAGTAATTGTCGGCTGTTAAGCCGCCGCGGAACGTAATTACGCGAGGACAAAGCGACGTAGCAGGAGTAAATACGGAAACGCGGCAGCGAGGGAAACGAATTTGTCACGACGGTTTTCGGGCGGAGTGCTACGAATTGGATAGAGGCGACGAAACTTCATCTTCTTCTTCGTCTTCGTCTTCGTTGCTTTCGTCGGTCGGAGCTAGCGAGTTTTCCAGGCTTCCGTGGCTCGGTGCTGTCGATGATAGGCGCGCGATAACGAGCACAATGGACGTTGCATAATTTTAATTGAACGCTTTGTCCGGTCGCCGTCTCCTTCGCCAGAACCGGAGACCGGTAACGGGATTACGTGTCAGGAATGATTTTAGTCGAACGCCCGTCGCATCCTCCTCGGACCAGTTCGATTTTATAATGAGTTCGATCGCGGTCGCTCCCCTTTTGTCCACGGCCAACGAGGAAATCCGGTGCATTCGAAGAATTTCATTAGAAGTCGGGAGTCGCTCCGCGGAACTTTCAGACACCTTCCTA